GATAGATAGATAGATAGATAGATAGATAGATAGATAGATAGATAGATAGATTTAATGTCACTTCCCTCCTTGTGGTATAAAACTCAGGGTGCTTTTGTAAACGTTTTTCTTCCCCAGTTTTCATTCTGTTTTCTCATGGTATACAATAAAGTAAAATTGTTCCAAATAAGCCCATTCTTACCACTGTCAGTAGTAAGGACCCTCACCAAATGAGACAGAAGTAGGGACTGTTGATTACTACATCAGGCAGAGTTGGATTTCACTTAATCTACATGGGCTTATATTTTAGATATTTTAGCACAAGGACATAGAACCCAGGAGTGTACGCCTGCAATTTGGCCTTATGCCCAATCAACAAATTAAAATATAAACATAGTTCAATTTAAAAATATCAGTACACCAACTTTAACTTTCAAATCCAAGAATATTTTAGTGTGCTTTTGAAATTACAACAGGTTAATACATTCTTGATACTTTTCCCCTATTGTTCGAGAGCTTTTAAGAAAAATGAAGCATTTGCTGTATCCCCATTGAGAAAGAGAGAGATCCTTGTTTGCTGAAAGGGGATGGGGGGTGAACTCTTGCTATTTCTGTGAAGATAGCCTCTATCTTATTTTAGCAAGGAAAGGCAAAATCCTTAACACATATACATTTATACATACACTCACACATACACATACACACACACACACACACGGATGGCCCTCAATTATCATGGGGTCTACCAGAAATGTGTAGTACAAATTATCACATAGAGTATGCCATGCAATTAACCAATTCTAAATTTTCCAGAGCATATTGTAAACTGGCATACTGAAAACAGGATGCAGCCCACTGCTGTTGCTGAAGCAACAAGAATACTGCTCAAAGACAGGGCTGCCTGAATAAAATGCCTCATATTGCAGCTTGCTTTTGCCTGTATTTTCTATTCAAGTTTCCTTATATTAGATTAGGAAATTAGCTACTCTCTCTTGCCTTGCCATTTCCTTTCCTTGAGAGCATTAATAAAAACTGGGTGGTAGAACCCTGCCATCATTGCTATGTTATAAAATCCTTTTATAGGATGGTAAAAGCCAAGATAAGGTCTGATAAATTATGTAATTAGATCCTTGAAATATTTACAAACACACTCCCTCCATTTCTGTTGAATTTGTAATAGAAATACAGAGCCCACTACAATCATTTTTGGTATGGCACAACCATCAGACACAATTTTCTTTTGATAAGAAGAAAAGAAAACCTCAAGTACAAATTACCATTTGTGTTTGCATTTCCCAAGGCTCATTGTCCAGAATTGTGCCTCCTCCTTCCTTCCTGCCTCCCACGCTAGTATAATTGGGATTGCAGACAGATCCTATCACTGCCAGTGGATGAGGTGGTTCACTGGGAAGTAAGAGGCTCCCACTGACAAATACTAATAGCCTTACAAACATTGCAAACTAGGGGCAGAGGCAGATTGCTAAACTGGGATTGATTTGCTGTACCAAGTTATAGGCTTCTGATTATTTATTTATTTGGTGCTGCTGGCCAGCTAATAGACATATAATCTATAATGGAAACATAGCAACCTTATGCATCCACTATGGATCAGCCTCTCTTTCTGGTTCATCACCTCACAGGCTGAGAGTAGATCCCTTTCATATTTATTCAGGAAGAGCCGCTGTCTGATTTTAGTTGGCTTAGTCCCAAATCTACTTTGAAGAGGGAGGTTTTTGCTCCCCAGATTGTTTCAAGTCCTATTAACAGAAAATTTTCTGAGATTTCTAATATCAATAAGAGATAGATGAACATAGTTCCTTTTGGTTTCTCTGGCTTCCCATTCACATCTCTTCTGATTATTTAAGAAAGCAAACTTATTTTAAATTTGTCCCTAACTCTTATAGTCTCAAATTCCATTCTAGATACAACAGAACTAAATATTTTAGGCTATGGGTACTACTTAAGGACTATGTCATGACAGATACATATATATATATATGTGTGTGTGTATGTGTGTGTGAGCATATATACACACACACAAATATATATATACATACACACATCTATATACATACACACACACAGATACATGCATGCACATTATGTGACTCTACAAGAAAACAAAAAATCTTGTCAGTAGAGATTTTTCAGCTAATACGTTGTCTAGATGTTCAGTCTTCTCTCTTCTCTGATATTCTAAAGCTGTCACATAATATTCCAATACCAAGTTACACAGTTCTCATATTCCCAGTGAACACCTTCCCAGAACAGAAAAGATGCAAACACAGTTAAAAAGAACCACAAGATTGTCAGCAAACAATGTTCCAAGATTTCTTCACCACAAATCTTTGGAATAAAACTTAGATCTTACCCTTATTCTTACATCCTAATATTAATTGCCTTTGTAAAGATTATTCAGGTTTTGGTCCATATCTCATCCCATCATTAAGGGCTAGACTTTGTATTTGCAATATAAATGGTTGCTGATAGTCACAGTTTATGCAGGGATTCTGAGCCCAAGGTGGGGGGGGGACTGTTTGGAACTTCAGTAGCTGACTGAAATTACAGATGGAAAGAAAACCCCAAGGGCTAAGTATTATGAATCAGTGTCTGTACTTCCATTATATATTTGAAAATATAAAAAGTTATTTAAATGTTTCTACACCCTAAACATGAAGTAGGAAATTAGTGAACAGTCAACAAGTCAAAAACAGTCCAAAGTAGGGCAGTGAGCTAGTTTAGTGAGTGGAAGAGTAGCAACCAAGAGTGTTACAGGCCATTTTGTTTCTCAGCACATCTTGCAGGGATGGTCCCAAATTAACTATACACAACCATTCTGAATTACTATCTCTTTACCTGCATGAGAGATAGTTTGAAAAGGCAGTCTTTGGAATAGTGCCAGCTCCAACTAGCTAAAAATAAACATTATGCATATATAGAGGAAGGTGTGTGTGTGTGTGTGTGTGTGTGTGTGCGCGCGCATGTGCATAAGTACAGATTTTTTTTTAATTTGACCACATCCATCAAACTATCTACAAGATCCAAGCATGAGCCTGATGCCTTCATTGTTCATTAAATAGTACAACCATTGCTTGAAGTGGACCCATGCATCTACTTGTTTTTGTTTAAATTAGTTGTTGTCCATGCTTACCAAAAAGCCAATCCTTTCATTCAACTGCATTGTGTTGGACAAGTGGGAATTACATCACCTTAATAAAATGGGAAAGGAGAATCTAGGTAGGCATTTTCTTTTTTTAGAAAAAATCATGTAGGAGACTAATATTAAAAGCAAGAGGTTCTCACTTTTCCACTCATAACTTACATGACTGAAAGTATTCTATAGATCTGCTAAACATATTTGTTTTGTGGGTGCCAGACACACATATATGTTACCACATATTTCACCAGGTAAGAGGGCTAGCAACAACAAATAACCAGAATTGCTAACCATTTTTTTGTGAGTTGCCACAAGCATGCTCCCAATGGTGCAGAAGGAAAACCTGAAGTCATGCCTGAGTGAGAGAATCCAAGACAGATATCCAGGTGTGTAAATGAGTTCTCAGAAACTTGGAGAAAAGGTTCAAGGCTTCAAATAAGCTTTCTTTCAAGTTTTCATTAGGTAATTAAATAGGAAGTCTGAACTATGGCAATATGGTGATGCCTCCAAAGATATACTGTGATCTTGCTCAGAGATTTCACTTGTCAACCATTATGCAATCATATCAGCAGTTTTCACAGTTCCTCTGTGCACATGATGTGCAATAACCAAATACCAAAATTAAAGGAACAAAACAATATGTTTCTCTCTCTTTCTCTGTATGTATATATATATATGTATATATATATGTGTGTGTGTATGTGTATGTATATATACATATATACATATATACATACATACATACATTATATATATACATTATATATATATATATATATCCCCTTGACAAAGTCCATAATAGCTGAAGCAAGAAAAGTGGTAGGTGTATCCTAGGATCGCTGCAGAGTGTACTGCCAATTAAGGCCATTGGTATTGACTTAAACAGATCTTGACAGCTCATTTCTTTGAAAAAAGAAAACGGAACAGATCAAGAAGTTTTTGAGGAATCTTGATGAATCATTGTATGTAAGGGTACCTTAAAACAAAATCGGCAGAAAGGAACCAACACAGTAACGTTTTGGCTACCAAACTGGAATTTGGTTTTTCTAGGTCATTAGTTTTCCTTCCAAAATTATCTCAAAATAAAAGTTAGTGCTACAAATATGCAAGTCCAAAATTAGTTTCCCCCTCCCCAGTTAAGTTGCACCAAGAAGCGAGTTACATATATGCTGCTTCTATGCTGTTCACCTGCAAGGAATCCTCTTCCATCTGTTTTGATTTCCATTGGCAATAAACAGGAGCAAAGTTTTTCAAGTTCTCAAGTGCAATAAGCAACTGTGTCTTAAAGACTTCCCCTGCATCCCTTTTTCTAATCACATGTCTTCTGCCTTTCAGGTAGGCAAAGCATTGGAAACAGAAGAATGTACTGCTGAAAGCATGACAGCATTTAGTGCATATTGTATGTTTAGAAGTTTACATGTGATCATATTCTCTTCTTCTGGAAGGTGACAAGAGACAGGCAATTGGGTTCCACCCTTCTCCCCATGACGCTACGGTCTAACTGCATCCGGGTCACATTGTATGTTCCCTATCATTTAGATGTGCCTCTTCATATGGAGGGCAAGGTGATCAGACCTTGAAAAACACCTGCAAAGTAAATACAAGAATAAAATCAGTATCAAAGACAATTTTATATTTTGGATTTCACTTCTCACTGTGTACAGTTTTTAATCAGCTAGAAAACTCTCTGCTTACTCCTGCATAATAAAACTGCAGAAATTGTAAAGCACCTGATAAACATGGTATGAGTAATAAATGAATACAAATTTAGCTGGCAATTTCAATTCTATTACATCCATTTCAGAATCTATCTTTTAGCTCTCATGGTCATGGAAGAATCCTTAAGAAGAAAAATGGGTGAGACCATTTTATAATTTTGAAATGTGTATAGATCACTGTCTCCAGTGTAATTGCTCCATGATAACTTTAGTCAGTGGCTTATAATTGAAAAAGATGGCTGGAAAGAAATGCCCATCTAATCATATTCTAGCCAGAAGAAAGCACGATAATCATTGAGGGGAAAAAAGACACAAACTTGGTCCCATATATGGAGAAGCCATTCTCAAACAATATGTAGTATTTTAAAGGTCCATTGTGTGATGATGATTTACAGACAGCTCCTACTCCAAAAAAATTGAGCCACTGAAATATTTTAAACAGTCTTCTATCAAGAGCAAAGCACTCAGAAATATGTATATGAATTCATAGTTCAAGCTGATATCACTCTTAAGAGCTTCATGTCACCAAGGATGAAATTATTTGGGCTGCAGAAATCCATATGGTCACTAAATAGAAAAGAGAGAGATGGAAAACTATAACTCTTTGTTGTCATTCAGCAGTCATCTGGATTTTGGCAGCCCAGCTATGGTAGTTCTATACAAAAGAACTATGATGATTTATGTGCTCAGCACAAACTTCGCCCCAATAACTGCTTTTTTCATTCCATGTCCTCCTGACGTTGTTTAAGTCTTAATCCATATCTGAGGCAACTTAAAGTCATCCTCAGTTGTTCCAGCTTTAAAAGAATGTTTTTACTCTTCTCTCAATAGAGAATGTACAATCTGGCACACTTCACTGACCATTTGACAGCCAACATGGTTGGTAGCTGGGATCAACCCTGCCCCTTTTAACACGGCCCTCCATTCTGGTTTCTTGGCACTGTGGTTTAACTTTGGGACAGATGGGGCATCTGACTTCCATCTTGTTAATACCTGGCTTGCGCTTTCCAATAGTGCTCATCAGATTTTAGGTGGACTCTTTATACAAACTTGTTTCATGCTTCTTCTGAAAAGAGCAACAAACTTATTTTTAAACACACATTTCATACTCTTCTGAAAGAACGCCAGTCCTTTATTGCACAGAAGATAGGAAAGAGTACTAGGTATTATCAGATGTGTATTAGTTCTGTCTCCATTGGGTGCATTACTGGTTTTCATTTATGCTCTCCAGAGAATTTTGTGTAATCATATTTTTTACCATTTTTTAAATTATCTCTGATGACTTATGCAAGAGTTCTACAACTATTATACTAATCAGGCAAAGCTCCCAGGATCAGTTTTATGAAGCCATACTTTCCACCTCTTTTTTGTCATGTCATGTTTGATTTAGTGGGAATGTGATTTTCTTTACTCAATTTTGGCTTTGGCAGCTCCTGGTGTCACAGTGATGGCTGTTGTTATTATCTGCATGGCAAATATAATTGAATAGATCTGCATGGCTGCTCTAAACACTTGTTCTCCTTGGCTCTTTAGGGCTACTTTCAGATATTACCAAGCCAGGTCAGAACTGACTCCTTGGTCCCTTGTAGCAATGATCAGGATTTGCTATCAATCATTCCCTTTCACTTCATCCTGAAACATATCCAACCCCATTTGCCTTTTTCCTATTTTATGAAAAAAAAAAAAATCTTATACCCATTCCTTTATGATAGCGCTCATAAAGATACTGACAGACAAGGAAGAGGCGAGAGAAGAATTGGAAGGAATATGGAGACAGCTTCCTTATTTTCCACACTGCTCGAATGCATGCCATTTGTTTGGTCGAGTAATTTCGCAGATTTACATTTACCTAAAATGTATCCCAGAGCTGCCTACATTCACCACAAACCAGAGGTGGTATCCAGCAGGTTCTGACCAGTTCTGGAGAACCGGTAGCGGAAACTTTGAGTAGTTTGGAGAACCGGCAAATACCACCTCTGACTGGAGATTTTACAGCATCCTTCCCCTGCCACGCTCACCAAACCACTCCCACAGAACCAGTAGCAAGAAAATTTGAATCCCACCATTGCCACAAACCACTCCATTTTGAGGAGAATGAGAGGTGGTTGTTTTCCCATGAGCAAGTAATGTTTGGTGGAAGTGAAGCCAGGGGAATCTTCCAACCCATTTCCTTAATTCGGCTTGCTCTATGTAAATAATGGCAGTGCCGCTCATCAATCTTGTTATTGTGGCAGAATGAAGTTTGGCAATGTGGTCAGCACATTTTTATGCTGGCATACATTTTTGCCAGCTGAAAGATGAATGGCTAGTGCTTCAAACACAGTTATGAGGAAAAGCTTGTCCATTATTGGTTGGTTCTCATAAAGATAGTGTCTGATTGTAGAAAGGATAGGAGGCTATAACAGTCACACCAAATTGACTACACAAACCAAAAAATTTTACCTTCTCTACCAGTGAATCCAAAACAAAGGAATTAGCTAGGACTTGGTCATGATATTTAGTCATGACACAAATGATTTAGAATGCTTATGCAAAAAAAAAAAAAAAAAGAAAAAGTCAAAGCACAGTGAAATGAAGAGTTAGTATGAACAGCCAAGTATTCATTGCAGTTAAATTTAATTTTTTTAAAAAGCATCTTTAATTTTCAATAATAATGTCTATTTACAATTTCTAAAAAACAAACCTGATTGTGAGCTGTATGCATATTTCTATTTGCTAAAATATTGTATTTCATTCAGGAGCAAGATAGGGTATAAAGTGCTCTCCCCTCCTATTTCCCGCCCCACAACAACCTTATGAGGTAGGAGGGAGTGAGGGAATGAGTGGTTCAAAGTCATCCAAGTCAACCAGCCCTGCAGGTTGTTCTGAGGACCAGCTGGGGGAGTTCCATACTGGAAGTGGCTGCAGGACTGATGGCAGAGTCCACCTCACTTCCCCTTACTCTCTGCTCTCCATCCATCCATTTTTTGTTATCAGATTGATGTATTCTTGGGTTCTTTTTCACTATTTATTTTATTGTTCTATTATTTTACTTCTGTTTTGTTTACACTCTTTACATTTCTTCCTTTTTTATTGTTGTAAACTGCCTAGAGTAGTCCCAGTGAGATAGGCAGCAAATAAATTTAACCAACCAAGCAACTAATAAATTCAATAATCTTTTGTGACTGAAGGAGGATCAGAATCTGACTCATTCCATGCCTAATCCAAATTTAACAGCTATATTAAACTGACTTTCTATATGCTGGATATAACATACAGGTAGTCCTCAACTTACAACCACAATTGAACCAAAAATTTCGGTGGCTAAGTGAGACAGTTGTTAAGTGAATTTTGCTCCATTTTATGAACTTTCTTACCACAGTTGTTAAGTGAATCACTGCAGTTGTTCAATCAGTAACATAGTTGTTAAGTAAATCTGGCTTCCTCATTAAGTTTAATTGTCAGAAGGTCGCAAAAGGGGATTACGTGACCCCAGGACACTGCAACGGTCACAAATATGAACCAGCTGCCAAGCATTTGAATTTTGATCACGTGGCCATGGGGATGCTATAATGGTCATTAGTGTGAAAAATGGTCATAAGTCTTTTTAGTTCAGTGCCGTTGTAACCCTGAATGGGCACTAAATGAATTATGTAAATTGAGAACTACTTGTAATTTTTATTGAAAAGATGTAACTGCTACTGTAAGTACATAAATCTTGCTCCTCACACTTGAATTTTACTGGAAGAAGGAAAGAAACAGGGCAAGGCACTAAGTCCTAGTATCACAGAAGAAGATGCCTCACAGTTCTGAACAAGTGCATTGTAACTCCCATTAGAAGTTCTGAAGGTCCAGGGCTGAGATACCGTAGCATCACTGCTGTTATACAGAAAAGTTAAATGTCAGAGACACACATGGTCTCTTGTTACTCCAATTTTAAGAATTGGGATTGATTAGTACAACTTATTTAAAGGCTAGGAGCTTAAAAAGTCTCTGGGAACAGCAAGAAATTGGAATCATTTCCATGGCAGATCAACTTTTTATATTGGTGTTTTGATTCCAAGCCGTGTTGGTCTGCTTGAAAACCTCCACTCTTCACTTGGACCTTACAATATTTTCTGCTCTGACTTACAGAATTTTGGCCGATTGTACAGAACTTGGAACATCCTGAACTTTGGGCATGTCTGGGGCTAAGACTCTTTGATTCCTTGTGAGTGCCCATACAATTCTGATCTTGAACTGTTAATGATTTTGCTATTAGCATGCCTTGACAATCAATCAATCAATCAGAATAGAACTGGAAGGGACCTCAGATGTCTTCTAGTCCAACCCCCTGCTCAAGCTATTTCAGATAGGCGGCTGTCCAGTCTTTTCTTAAAAACCTCCAGTGATGAAGCACCTATAACTTCTGAAGACAAGCTGTTCCACTGGTTAATTATCCTCACTGCTAGAAAGTTTCTCCTTAATTCCAGGTTGCTTCTCTCCTTGATTCGTTTCCATTCATTGTTTCTTATCTTGTGATGCTTTAGAAAATATGTTGATCCCCTCTTCTTTGTGGTAGTCCCTGATATACTGGAATACTGGTACCATGGCACCCCTAATCCTTCTTTTCTCTAGACTGGCCACACTCAATTCCTGCCACCATTCTTCACATATTTTTGTCTCCAGGCCCTTAATCACCTTAGTTGCTCTTCTTTGCACTTTTTCTAAAGTCTCAAAAAAATTTTTTTCTAATGTGGTTGCAGTATTTCAGGTGTGGTCTTACTAAGGATTTATTAAGTGGTGCTAATACTTCACATAATTTTGATTCTATGCCTCTGTTTATACAACCAAGGATTGTATTAGCTTTTATAGCTGCTGCCACAGACTGCTGGCTCATATTTAAGTGAT